TAGATTGTGGATATTGATGGTTGTTCTTCTGTTTTCAATGTATTTTTATGCATTTTTTACATATCTTTTAATTTTTCACATATTTGTTAATTTTTCATAATGTGTTTCAATGTGTTCCAATATAATTTAAGGCCCCCCCCCCCTCAGAAACGAACTTTGTTATTTTTCATCCGATTTCAACCAAAATCTCAGAGAATGTTAGCCTTGACTAGGATAGCTTATGGTTAAAATATCTCCCCAAAATCTCAAAGAAATGCACAAGTTCTAGGCAATTCATTATCCTTTACGCGGGGAAGGATTTCACAATAAGGATACAAGCTAACAAGCTCGGGCGGTGTTTAACTTGTAGAGTACCCTTAGGGCCAGATCCTCACGGAGCCCGAATTTTGAATTTCCCTTTGTTTGATTTTTAAAAATACTTTTTCGAAAAATGTTCAAATTCAAAGTGCTAATAAATATGAAATATCTGAGTTTTTTATTTCTGCAAATGAGAAATTCAAAAATCGGAGCCTGTGAGGATCTAGCCCTAACTGTCCTCTATTCAACAAACAAAAATTATCCCTTCTCTATTGAGTCAGTATTAAGAAGTCCTTCTCCGCGTAAACGGTAAACTCGAAAAAATTGATTTTGAGAAAAACGAAAAATAAGTATTAGAAGTCGATTTTTCCGAAAATCACCTGATTTATATATCAATGTTCAAGACGGGCTATAAATGTGTGATCTTAATATTAAGTGTTGATAGTCTCTTAGTGATTAGTATTTAAAAAAAACTTTACGAAATGATGATGCAAAGAGAAAGCAGCCTAAAAAGTCGAAAAACCTTGAAAAAACACCATGAAAATTTCTCGAAAAATATGATAGTAGGAGCAAAGTTTTAGACGATAAGTTCGTCAAAATCAATTCATTTTTCGATAAAATATAGATATTCTGAAAGAGGAGACTTCAATGCATCTTCCTATGATAAAACTTCAATTTCGACTCATCTCCGAAAAATTGGATTTTCTGAGGGGGGGCCCTTAATGCAATTCAATGTATTTTTAGACATTTGTTATTCTGTTTTTAATGTATTTTAATGTATTATAATGCATTTTTTGATGTTTTTAATGTATTTTAATGCATATTTTGGCGGTAATCAGTATTTATACGATGTTAAATAGAAATGTGCATACGGAGGATGCTGAGAGAGGTATTTATGGCACAATGAGCATATTAAGGAGAGGTATCTCATGATAGGCAGGAGGCAACAAACATAAGAAGACAAAAATAAAAACCAAAAAATAAAAAAACAACATAAGAAAACAACATTGGCATGTAACACCATGGTTTTAATACAGTAAAGTAAGGTAAAACAAGAAGATCTTTCTACAATAATTTTAGGAAGATAGAGATATCTAGGAAATATTTTACAATAAATATGATAAGGTGATTATTTTTAATTTGACAAGTCAACACGAGTTCGTAATTTCAAGGTATAATAATAGAGAGAATAATGATGAACAAGATAATATAATAGTTTTCTTCTTTTTGTTTTTTTAAATATTTTTATTAATTGTAATAGAATAGAGGAGTAATAAGAGGAAAAAAAGAAAGAGAAAGAAGAGAAATAATAACAAGAAAATAATATGAATAACGCTGAGGAAAAGCAATATTCGAATATATGGCAACAGTCTAGAGAGAAGGCAATTTTTAATTTATATGACAATAATCTAGAAAGAGAAGGGTATGGAGTGTGGGTGTGGGTGTCATTATAGGTGTTCTCTGCATCCACACCCACACCCTTACCACTGGGCACAATATGGGCTCTAAAGCTTTTAATCACTTGGGGACCTTCCCTCGTTAGAGACAAAATTCCAAGCCAAAAGTCCTTTCTTCAATATTCCTATCAAATCTCTATGTCATACTGAAAATCGAACAATTTTGTCGTAACTCTCTGTAAACAAAAAAAAGACCTACGTATCCCTTCAAGCGATTCCTTCGTAAGTAAAACAATTAGTTTCTGAATTCATACATTAATTAATATTCATCACATTTTCTGTAAAATCGAAATGGGATTTCAAATGAAGTATGTTATTTATTCTCGAATCATAACTTGTATTAAATATAATTGACATAATACTTTTTTTTGTACTGATCATGCCTAGATTTTTCAAAAACAAAAAATCCGATTTACTTTTCATTACCGTTGTGATGAAGTGCGGATCTACAAACAAAAAAAAAATGCTCTTGTAATTGAATAAAAAGTTCGAAATCACTTCCTAAGCGTTTTTATAATATCGATTTTTAATAGACAGTTTTTTAGAGTTCAATCTTGATGAAAATTTCATCATAGACACGGTTCGTGCTATTTTGCCTGAAATGTCTCACTTGTGTTTATTTGACTTTATAAAGATTAAAATCCACAGAGAGAAAATTCTATGGTAAGTCAAAATGTGAAATTTAAAACAGTTGTTTTAGATCATAAAAATTCATACATTCATTCAAAAGTTATTTTATTAAACAACTATCCTATACTTTCATCAAATTGTTTGTAATATTGTTTTTTTTTCTTTCCCTGATAATATTTATCACAAGAAAATGAATACTTCAATCTATTAGAAAATAGCGTCCTCTTTTTTTCTAAACATATACAAATATAATTGTATAAGGTAGTATTATTTGTCGTACAAAAAAACCAATCGTGTTTTTCATTTATTGGTTTGTAGAAACGAATCGTTTAAAAGAAAATGAGATCATTTCTATTACGATCTAGTCGGCAGATTGTAGAATTATTCAAATAAATCTATTTTTACACTTCTACATATATATTGTTTATTTTTAACGACGATTAGATTTAACGTAAAATGGCTGAATGGGGAAAAGGTGATCCACGTTGGATTGTAGAAGAACGTCCAGATGGTAAAAACCAAAATAAAAATAAAATTGTTGTAATCTCGAAAAATAATTCTTTGTTTTATTGTTTTTTTTCTTTGATAGCTACAAATCCAAATAATTGGCATTGGAAAGAAAAGAATGCAACACAATGGTCAAGAGATAAATTGAATGAATTATTAGTAGGTCTTAAAATTGAAAATGAACAATTTACTTGTGAAATAAAAGAATTAAAACGTTGTGACGGTGAAGCATCAGCAAATAATCGAAAAGCTAAACTTGTTTTTCTTGTAAGTTAAATACATACAAATAAAAAATAAAAAAAGAAATAAATACGTAATTCAATCAAACAACATATATATATATATATTTAGTATGAATGGCATATTGAAGGTAAATGGGAAGGATCAATTCGTACAGGTGAAAATCGTACTAAATATGAAGGTGGATTTGAAGTTCCAAATTTATCTGATGAAAATGAAGTTGATGAACTTACAATAACATTTTCAGTTGAAAAATCTAAAGGTGAAAAATTAAAAGAATTAATGATACAAAAAGGTGAACCATTAATACGAGAAAAACTTGGTGAATATATACGCTCACTTAAAGAAGAATTTTCTCAAGGTCTTATTTTACCGACAAAAAATTCTTCAAATACCAGTAATATCAAAACATCATCATCAACAACAACAAATACAAATACATCAACGACATCAAAACTTCTTTCAAATACATCATCATCATCATCATCAAGTAATCAATCATCATTTCAAACACAAGAATTAGTTATTGAAGATACATTTAAATGTTCTCGATCAGAATTATTTCAAACATTTACTGATATTAATATGGTACGAGCATTTACACAAAATAGTGTTACAAAATATGATTGTCAACAAGATGGACAATTTTCATTATTTGGTGATAATATAACAGGAAATTTTCTTGAAATAGTACCATATGATCGTATTGAAATGTTATGGCGTTTTAAATCATGGCCTAAAGAACATTATTCACATGTTTCATTACAATTTCAAGATCATACAGATCAAACAAAATTAATTGTACAACAGAATGGTGTACCAACACAATTTTATGAGAATACAATGGTTAGTTGAATAGAATTTTTGTATTCGAATTTGTTTATTTATTTTTATTTTTTTCTTCGTATATTTTTAGGAAGGATGGAAACGTTTTTATTTTGAAAGTATCAAATCAACATTCGGTTACGGAGCTCGACTACTTTAAAAGATTATAAACATAATTATTACTATAGTTAAAATGTTTTTTCTTTTTCAATATTCTTTTCTTTATGTTGTCGAACTGTTTGAAATAAAATCGCCATATAGAACAATGTTGTATATTGTCAATCCTCTATAAAGTTTAAGATTAAACTGTTCAAGATTGTTCTAGAATGTTCTACAGTAAAAGAATTGACAAAAATAACTATGTTAGTTTATGATGTGACTATTTCATGTTTGTAATATATTTAAATTGATGTATTCAATGTTTGTTTTTTTCTTTTATTGACAATATGATTGACACATTAATACTAATATTTGCTCAAGGTTGTTTGTCGTTATTAATATCAACAGGTTTTGAGATATGTGTAGATTTTTATAAACAAGGAAATTTTGCATCCTAGAATGGTAAAATCCATCAAAAATAACTACCAGTAATTTATGAGAATTTACCATGAGATTATTCGATAAGTGGAATTTTTTTCAGATTACTGGGAAATTTCTTATAGAATAATATGATTTGTTTCGATTGCATCAATGGTAATTTCTGATTGATATATTATTTCTGCAACTGAATAATTCATCAGGGAAATTTAGACACGGTTGGTTGTTTTTTTTTTCATTAAAAAAAGAAAGTTATACTCTTTTGAATGAAATGACGTGAATAAGATATCAGCACTAAATGCAAAAAAAAAAAGCAATGACAAAATTATCATTAGTCTAATTCAAAAGTCTCGAGAGAAAAAACAAAGAAGAATTTTCAATCTATATGATATCAATTTTAAGGATTTCTAATCAACAAAGTGAATTCCAGAAAACTATCGAATACTATTTTAATCTTTTTTTTTTTTTTAAAAACAAAAACTTTTTTTGCGCATAATTTCTACTAATATGCCTTTACCTCGTTTAAATTCTGAACAAAAAAAATTTGATCAAACATTTCTTTCATCATTAAATTTTGACGAAACAGGTTTTGAAATAAATCGTTTAACATTAATATTTAATAAATTATGTACTACTACTAATAATAATAATAATCAATTAACACGTGAATATTTTCGTGATTTTCTTTCAACATTATTTGATCTTAATGATGAAACAATTATTGAACGTTTATTTATATTAATTGGACAAGGTGAAAAAACTTTATCATTAAAACAATTTTTATATTCAATTAATTTATTATTATATGCAACATATGATGAACAAATTAAATTTATTTTTCGTATATATGATGTTAGTGCCGATGGAAATTTACAACGTGAAGAATTATTTGCATTTTTACGTAAAGATTTACTTATAATTAATGAAAAAGAAGATGGTGATATGATTTTACATGAATTTATAACATTATTATTTAAAAAATTTGATAAAGATCATGATGGTGTTATTAGTTTTGATGATTATAAACGAACATGTCAAGAAAATCCAACATTAATACAATGTTTTGGTCAAGTTTTACCACGTCTTTTTCGTAAACATATGGTTAAATCAATGCTTAATGGAAATATATCAATTATATCGAAAAAAGAAAAATATTTAATTGAAAAATAAACATATATATATATATGCCGTATTTTTAGCAAATAGATTAAGAAAATGCACAAAAGAAAAAAAAAAAAAAACAACCAGAAAACACACTATGATAAATAAAATTTTGTGTCAATCTTACTAAAAACAAACAAAAAATTACTCAATTGATTTTGTTCATTAGTAAAATCATACACCAGCTAGCTGCTATATTAAGAATAACACAGAATCAACACAAACGAAAGAAGATATAGATCATTGCAATGTAGTGAGAAAAAGACTAGAAACACAAAGAGATAGAAACACACAGAAAAAAAAAAGAGAGAAATATGATGGTTTACATAAATTAAGCAGAACGAAGAAGAAAAAAACGAACGTCGGAAATAAAAATTATTGAAAACAAAAATGTCGACAACGTTACTAAGCAGCTTGAGCATACACTATTTATATAAAATTACAAGAAACACATACGCCTACAGATGTCTATACAGTGTTGCTAATGCTGTTGTATGCTTCAGCTGTATTAATAGCACTTTCGATATTTTTTCTTTCGCCGTTTTTTCTTCCTACAAAATTTCTGCCATGCGAGAAAATATTACTTTTTTAAATGCATCACCGATATTTTTACATTTAATAAACAAAAGGATTTTTATGAGTGGGTGGTAATGAATCATCTTCACTTGAACTTGAATGCTGTTGAGCACAAGTTGATGATCCAAAAGCTGAATTGTATAAACCTGAACAATTATTATTATTATCAATACATGGTGATGGAGAATGTAGACCATTTATAAGTCGATCGAGACTACTTGAAGTCATTGATATTACTTGTTGTTGAGATTGTTGTTCGGGATTTAAAAAATAATTTGGTTGATCATTATTATTGTATGCTGAGTTTGTTAATAAAGATGTAGGTTGCAGAAAATTATTAAAATCTTCTTCATCATTTTGAATATTTTGTAATTGATTGGAACGAATTGGTGGTGGTGGTGGTGGTGGTGGTGATCTTTCAACAATTGATGAAAGAAAAGTTGTATCACCGAAAACCATTGATTGTTGTTGTTGTTGTTGTGGTGGTGGTGGTGGTGGTGGCATTATGGAATTGATTCGTGGTAACTGACAATTTACCATATGATTTGACAATATAGATTCAAGATGTTGTTTTTTTGCTTGTAATTGTTGAATTGTTGTTAAATAATTTGTATGAGTATTTAATTCTTTATGATATTCATCTTCAAGATTAGCTAAAATATTTTCACGTTTTTCACGACATTTGGTTGCTGCAGCACGGTTACGTTCACGTCTTAAACGACGTTTTTCTTCTTCATCGTTATTTAACGGTTCATATTTCGAACGGCGACCTGTAAATAATGTTTTCGATGGTTGTTTACGAGGATTAACAGTTATTGGACCGTATCTAACAAAATTTATACATTAAATAATTCATGTATGAAAAATGATAATCTACCTGACACGACCCGAAGGCAAAATTTCTATTGGTTCTTTTGAACTTATTTGTGTAGGATGCATGATATTCGCTTGCCCTTTTTCCTTTTTTCGTCCTTTTGTTGATTTTAATTGAGTATTTATTTTAGTAGAATCTATTGTTGATGAAGTAGTTGATGATAAAACTACTTCGGATGATGAAGGTTCTCGTAAATAATTAACTATAGAATCAACACTATCAAATGGAGAACCAAATGTTTTTATTGATGACATGATATTGTAATCAATGTTTGAATTCATCAGCTTTTAAAATAACTAAAACAAGAAACGCAATATGAATACGAAGTTACATCATCCAACAAAAACAAAAGTTTGCTTTAGAAACAATAAATTATTTGTTGAATGGAGTAAAAAGAAATATATATCCAACAGATAAATAACAGAACGAAAAGAACTCATTTATACACCGCCTACGCAACCAATACAAAATGCTGATAGGCTAACAAAAAGTGTATGTGGAGGTGGAACGATAAAATTTTATTAATCACAGGTAAAATATTCGAACGATTTCATAAATCGTTAAAGTATCACATTATAAAATCAATATTATTCTTTTTCAATTTATTTTCATTAGTTAAGATTTTTTTTCGACTGAAAAATCTTTCTCAATTGTCAACTGTATTTAATGGGTACGAATCTATATAATATTGCAAACTCATTTCCTTATAACATGCATATATCCATAAAAGTCAAACTATAAAATATGATATCTGATCTTTGTAAACATAAAATAAATATATACAACAAACAAAAAACCTTTTTATTTTTTTCTTGACAATATTTCTGACGTCATTATGATACATAAAGGAAAGCTTCTATCATAAAAAAAACTTACCCGATGCGATCAAATAATAATGACGGAAGAACAGAACAAGTATACTTGTTTAATGTTGTTTTAAAGAGATGATAGTAAAAAAAAATTATTTTCAAATCAAATAATTGTATAAAATAAGTGTAAGCAAAAGGAAAAAAGCTTGCGTTTCGTGTTTGAATTTTTGTGAAGCAATAATATAACGATACATATATATATATATATAATATATAGTGCAAGTAAATTAGTGGTGGGTTTTTTTTTCTTCTATCTGTTCTTTTTCTCGCCGTCTTTTTTTCTCTTCATACATGCGAATAAACGTAGAAAAAAAAGAGCGAACGCGAAGGCAAGCTCTTTTCTTATTTGATGGACAACAACAAAGAAAACCAACGTTATTTTCGTCTTACCTTAGACTATTTGTTTTGTTTTTTTTTCTTAGTTGGAAAATATGATATAATATATGTTCGAAAATATAAATTTTTTATATATACTTATAAGACTTACTACACAATGTTGAAGGTTAATATATTTAAAGTGTAAATCATAAGTCAGACGTTAAATGAAAAGGAAAAAAAAAGTGTCATATTGAGAAAAAAAAACAAACACAAAACGCATATTTATACATATCGAAAAAAAAAAAGAAAGAAAAAAAAAATCTAGTAGAAGTTTATTTTTCTTAATGTTCTGATTTAATTATTAAATTTAATGTTTTTTATCATATGTTCCTTCGCCTTTATAATTACCAACATAACCTGAATTTTTAGCTTCATCAACACGACCTTCTTTTCCTTTTCCATGACCTTCAGTATCAAAACGTTCTTTATGAGAACCTGTATAATGACTTGTATCCGTCATGCGTTCAGTTATATTCTTATTTGCCGTACTCTAAAATTAATTATAATAGTAATAAATTAAATAGATATTTTCATTAATGCAAAATTTTACCGTAACATTAGCTAAACTTGGACCACTTATTGAACTAATATGGGAAACAATTTGATCACTCGATGTCTTTTTTGATTCAGCTATTTGATCAATAAGTTGTTTAAAACCTTGAAATTCAAATGTTTTACTAGAACAATATAATTATATATATAGATCAAGATAGATTATCAAAAAAAAAAAAAAAAAAAAAAGAAAATAATTGATTGATAAGCAAACTTACATGCCCTTTGCATAAGATCCAGAACTAGTAAGTTTACCAAGAACACGAGCAATATCATTATCAAGTAATTGTGTTGTATATTTTGTATCAACAATACCAGAATCTTTCATCATTTTTTGAATATTTTTTGATTCAAGTCGAACATCTTTTTCTTTAAGTTGTGATTCTGTTTTACCAAATTTAGAATATTTATCAAAAGCTTCTTTTAAACCACCACTACCACCTGATGCCATGTCGTTTATTTTATTTTAATGAAATAAATTCTATCTAAAATAACGAAGAAAACTAAAATTAAATGGCACTTTATCGACACATTATACTATTCTCTCGTTTATATAATTTCTACTATGACAAGAAAACCTCCAAATAACGTCGATTATTTAACATTACTTCCATTTCGCGAGAGTGAATGATGAAGGTGACGTTGTCTAGGCGATTGTAGAAAAAAAAGCCAATAGACGAGAAAGAAAGTATACCCACTTATATTATCGTTCTCTACTTGCACGATCAGCTTATACATCAGGCATTTACAAGTGATTTACTTTTTACTCTCTAACACAGTAAAATCTTTAGTTCTCTATATCATAAACAGGCTAAAAAAAGAAGTGCAGAAGTCAACAATATTTATCGCCTACACTGAAAGTTTAAAAGAAAAGAAGTTGTATCATCTTTACCTTTTTTTTTTTTTCTTCTTTGATGATGTTGTCTCACGACGCAAATAAAATAACAAAGATGACAAAAGAATAAAGTAGTTTTCTCATATGTCTTTTTTTTTTTTGCTGTTACTATAGTGAATGAAAAGCATAATGATGTAATTTATTTTCTTTTTATAACTCAAAAGTTCCTTGAAAAGATTTTCTAACAGGCATTCATTATAATCAATATTCATTTCCAATTTATATGAACTGATTCACAAGAAAGAATGAGAACATGAAACTTTGCTCGTGTGTTACTTAAATAAGTTATATTCTCATATTAAATGAGAGAAGAAATGATCCATATATTCTTTTCTTTTTAAGTATAAAAAAATTTTGAGCTTAAAAAATAGAATATTCGGAAGGTACTGAACAACCGTCAAAAAAAAACATTTAAGTTAAGATGTAAAGTATGATCTCGTTTCGTAGCATAAAATGCTGGAAAAAAAAGCTTAGTAATAACGTGTATTGTTTTTTATAATATTAAGCAATCAACTCAAACTCAAAGACAAATTTTCTATATAATGTAATCTATATCACGATTTCATTAATGAACTAGACGGTACAATTTGTCAAAAACCAGACACAGTAGTTTGCAGGTCCCATAAGTTTTTTTTTTTATTTTTAACAATGCTATTTTAAAGAGAGAATATCGCATTTTCTATGACCTTCATTTAAAAAGTTAAAACTATCACAAAAAACTGAAAATTACCAAAAAATCAACCATACGACGTCTTTTGTTCGATTTTTCTAATGCTTTTAACTTTTTAAAGGATGTTCGTAGAAAACGCAGCAACCTTTCATTTTATTCTCTTTAAGATGATATTGTTAAACAAAATAGTTTTATGAGAGCTGAAAACTATTGCATTCGATTTTTTAGAGTCTTTTTCATTAGAGTTCATCTATGAAATCGTAGTATAGAATGCATTAGATAGAAAACTCCTCTGATTATTAAAATTACCATCTAGTATGTATAGTAAATAAAGAATATATCTTAGATTAAATATAAAAATCTTCTTAAGTATAATAAAACATATCTATCAATTTTTGATTTTCTGACTATGCGCTTGTTGACAAGTAAATGTACTTTAAAAAAAACAACACAAAGTGAGTACTGATATTATATTCTATTTTTGACATAAGAAGTCTATAGATCATTCTTCTGTTTTTCAAAATTTGATATGATTTGAATTATGTTGTTGTACACGGTTGCCAGATTATATTTCTCGTAGGATCAAAAACAATTCGGGGTATAATAAGATTACATTTCATAAGCAATATGAAGAAACTTGAGTCAAAAAATAAAAAATAAACTTTTATTGAGATGCTGATAATATTTTTTTTTTAGCAAAATATCTTATCTTGTGCACAATCTATTCATTATTTTCATAAGGTGTGTTCGTTGTGCATGACAATTTTTTTCAACTCACATGCAAGGTAGAACAGCCATTAAATAATGACTCATTGAAAGTCATGATTTCAGTATAATTATGGTAAGATGTTCATAGTGATAAAAAAACTGTCAATTTACTTTTTTTTTTCTTAATAATATATGAAATACTGAAAACTAAAGAGGAAGAGATAAATATTATATGACATTATCAAATAATGTACTCATAATAGTATAAATATCGAAATAAATATTTAGAAAAGTCATAAATACATTTCGATAATTGACTTCCAAATCTATAAAATCATCTTATCAAAGACATACATTTTCATTGATATTAATCAAATACGTGAAAATTGAAATTAATAGATTGTTATTATAATACATTAATTTTCTATTTCGAATGCTCTTAAATTATCAGCTGATACTCATACAGGTATTTCTTGATTAATCAAAACATAAAGTCATTAGATCTAGATAATTTTCAATACAAATTCGATAATTATATCGTTTGATTCAACGATCAATGCTTCAAAATCTAAAGTAACGTTCTCTTCCCAAGTCATCAAGGTACTAGTACATTTCGTCGCACGATCACTTCATCGCAGAACATTTTGTCGCATTCTGTTCGTTGCATCCTTCTCAATTAATTCTTTTTTTTTTAAATAACCAATTGCAATAAAATAAAATAAATTAAAAATTCTAAAAGATGTATATGATAACGATAAACGATTGACTATTCTAAGGCATATGCTTTAATTGGGGAAAAGGATCAATAAAAAATATTAATCAAAAGTGATCATGATAGAGCTAAAGTGAACGAAGAATAATTAGATTTGTCACACAGTTAATGAGTTTCAACATAATCTATGCCAACGATAACACAGATCCAATGTTTTTAATTATGGGATCCCAATAAAAAAACATGCATCGATGATATTGAAAATATATTTCGTTTCTCAATCTCAATATTCACTGCACACTACTCCTCAAAATAAACGTCTCAAATGGAAAAACTTCTTTTTGTAAAAGGAAACAGTGCTCCTCTATAAAAGTTACCTCTACACTATAGAATTTTCAATAACGATATTTTCAATCTCATCAATGTATATTTTTATTTATTGTGGTCGTATAATTAAGAACATTTGATCAGTATTATTGTTGGTCTAGATTATGTTGAAATTTTTTAACCGATTGACAAGTCTAATTATTCTTCGTTCACTTTAGCTCTATCATGATCACTTTAGATTAATATTTTTTATTGATCCTTTTCCCCAATTAAAGTATATGCCTTAGAATAGTCAATCGTTTATCGTTATCATATAAATCTTTCAGAATTTTTAATTTATTTTATTTTATTGCAATTGGTTATCTAAAAAAAACGAATTAATTAAGAAGGATGCAACGAACAGAAGGAAAGAAATTATTCTGCGACGAACAGAACGAAAAAATTGTTCTGCGACGAACAGAACGCGACAAAATGTTCTGCGACGAAGTGATCGTGTGACGAAATGATTGCGACGAAGTGATCGGTCACCGTCATCAATTATTTCAATCTAGAAACTAAACAATCGAATAAATTTCATTGTTTGAATACCTTGCGTACTGACTAGTCCCTCGCGGACAAAAAAAATTGCCTTTTTGCATTTCATTTTTTCACCACATAATACACTGTATTAAAAAAAACAAAATATACCACAAGATGCAGAGTGAAAAGAACTACAATCTACAAAAGACAGCTTGTTTCATAGTTGCACTTTTTGTTTTCAAAATGGAAAAAATTCGAAGCCACTAGTTTTTGACTTATCGAAAAAAAGAAGTTTTTGGTACCATTAGCCGCACAGAATTGTGCCTATTTTGAAAACGAAAACTGCAGCTATAAAATAAGCTGTTCGTTGTAAATTGTAGAGCTTTTCACGCTGCATCTTATGGTGTATTTTGTTTCTTTAATAAAGTATATCAGGTGATAAAAGGATAAAAAAAGCGAATTGATCAGGTACCGAAAACTTCTTTTTTTTTTCAATAAGTCAAAAACTAGTGACTTCGAATTTTGTCCATTTTGAAAACAAAAAGTGCAACTATGAAACAAGCTGTCTTTTGTAGATTGTAGTTTTATTCATGCTGCATCTTGTGGTATATTTTGTTTTTTTTAATACAATGTATTATGTGGTGAAAAAATGAAATGCAAAAAGGCAATTTTTTTGTCCGCGGAGGGAGTGTGCAAATTCAGATATGGGAGAGTTATAAGACGTAGCGTTAGCTAAATTCGATTCGATTTGTTGGAATTTCTGTGAAATTTCTACGATTCAGATTATTTTTTTGAAATTTGAACTAACTTTTTCTTTTTAATATGATTATTCAATCTTTTATCAACAATTCATCACTTGTCAATAGTCTAACTGCAATCATTTTTATCGTACATATTGTAGGCGAAGTATTTCGTTATCTTTATTATTATGATATTTATTCTTTGCACATGTTTATAGCCAATATTCGGTCGATTTATGCTATATCTACTGAGAAAAATATTATAAAATTAAGTCATTTAATGAGCGTCTATAAGAGTAACAATGGCTACTAATGACTGAAAGGACATCATATAAGCACAATAATTTACGAATTCGATACCTACACAGATCAAAAAGATTTATTCTACATTTTAATGCATTAATATTGATTACAAGATGAATGACATGACATGCTATAATAAGCTCAAGCGTAACACGTTAGATGCAAAAGAATTTCTATACTTTGGTAAATTTTCTGATAGCTTTTGATATTTTGGGAAATGGACGCGTATGATTCTTTCTTGATCGATAACTCAGTTTTTTTTTTCTTTCTTTTTTTCTATATTATTAACGTAGTCTCATTGTATGCTAATAATATGTCCCTTCAGGACTACTAAAGTCAGAGGTTTAATGAAGGGTAAAAAGAAAAAAAAAAGAAAAGAAATCTCCTGATATTTTTTTAAGTACAATCAGTGTTTCACTGAACTTCTTTGAAAAACAATCTAATGAAAGCAAGAATAAGAAGCAAATAATCAAAAAACATAACACTGAAATATATCAGATTAAGATCCGTAGAAAAAAAAAACAAGATTTACTAGATTGTACCTAAATGTGTCGGAAGAAAAGATAACGATATTTAT